AACCGAGAATTTCCCACCTTCACGTGGCAATCCCAGAGGTAGATTGTTAGAATGGAATGCCCACTCGCTCCCTGGAAGGACACATCCTCTTTATTATTATTATCTAATTCCAGAAAGTATTAGGTGTGGATTGGCTGCTGTATACAGTTGTGTGAATGATGAATATTCTGAAGGGTTGTTGGCCAGGACACTGCCTTCCCTTTTTGAATAGAGCTGGAGGATTTTTAACCTGCCGGACTATGAATTTAAATGTAAAGCTTCGAACAACTTTGTAAGGTGTTCCACTGTTTTTAACAGGGTGGTGCTGTTCAAAAATAATTAATAATTGGTCACTCGATCCACAACTGTTTGTGGGACACTGCTGTGTGGAGTTGGCTGCTCTGTTTCGCCCACAACACAACAGTCAATTCATTTTACAGCATATTCTGTGAAGTGCTTTGAGACGTCTCAAAGACGTGATAAGGCACTATATCAAATGCAAGGATTATTATTCTTAATTCCCTCTGAATCAAGCAGTTTACGTGTTGGAAATGTTGTGAAATAATAAAATAATCTGTGAAATAATCCGAGGCAATTTATCATTCTGCCAACCCAATCTTTTGTGTCTTCGCCCCACCCCACCCACCTGCTTGGTGTACAGTTTCTGGAAAAAGCTGGGAGATGTTATGCTACATCAAGTTATAATAACCCTTGCGCATGATATCGTGCCTCTTAACGTAGTTGAGACATCTCAAGGTGCTTCCCAACTTTCTATTGTGAAATGTAGTGACTGTTTTTTGGTAGGTGAATATAATAATAATAATAATCCTTGCATTTGATATAGCGCTTTTCACGTCTTCTCGACGTCTCAAAGTGCTTCACAGAATAGACTGTAAAGTGAATTGACTGTATATTTGTGGGTGAAATGCGGCAGCCAATTGCGCACAGCAGTGTCCCACAAACAGTCGTGGATTGAAATGACCAATTTATTATTGCTTTTTTGAGGGATTATTATCAGGCTCTGTGTGGAGTAAGGAAACTTGCCCAAGGTTTTACCCTGCCGGGAATCGAACCCAGGTCTCTCGCTTGCAAAGCGAGTGCTCTAACCACTGAGCTACGGGGACTCCATGTCCAGCTACAGGATCATGGCAGCCATTTGCGCACAATAGTGTCCCACAATCAGTCATGGATTGAGTGACCAAATTATTCTTAGTTTTTTTTAAAGCTATTATTACCCCCGGAAAGCGATCTACCAATCGACTAAGAACTAGGTCCCTACTAGGCAAACAGAGGCGTTTGGAGTAAGGAAACTTGCCTAAGGTTTCACCTCTGACCCTCCCGGGAATCGAACCCGGGTCTTCTCGCTTGCGAGGCAAGTGCTCTAATCACTACACCACCGGACTGCAAGCATTGGAATGGTCACTCCCTTAAGTGGGGTGGACCTGGCAGATACAGTGAAGGGGTGTGTGTCTGTGCGTGTGAGTGTGTTTGATTGTTTTTAGAAAGTACAGTCTGACCTGCTCAGTTTTTCACAGGTTGCGAGTGTAGGGCTGAAATAGCTATTCTGCCTCCTCTCCCCCCCCCACAGACTGGGTGTGTGAGATGGTCGGGGCACGGCAGCACACAGCTCTCCTCAGGCTTGGATTCCTTTCCCCGTGGACCAGGTGGGAACGTGGAGTTGAGTCCAGGGTCAGTGCTGCAGTGGGGAAAGTTTGTGTGGGAGCAGATTGAACAGTGCCAGCCAGGGCTCAGGCTGCGTACTAATAGCAGCCTCACCTCCTGTGGGAACACTGCCATCAGCCAAAGGCCTGAAGTCTCCCCTCCTGGGAGGGGGAGAGAGTTCCCTTCTCTGCCCTTTGTCCACTGCGCTCTGACAGTGTGGGCCACCAGTTCTTCTGTACTGCTGTGTCCAGTATTAACAATACTAGCATTTGATATACCGCCTTATCACATCGTTGAGACTCTCAGAGTGCTTCACAGAATGTACTATAAAGTGTAGTGACTGTATTTTGTGGGTGAAACCCGGCAGCCAATTGCGCACAGCAATGTCCCACAAACAGTCGTGGATTGAGAGACCACATTTTTTTTTAAAAGGGATTATCACTCCCGGAAAGTGATCCCCCAATCGACTAACAACCGGGTTCTTCTTGCTGCTGGTAAAGAGAGGCGTGTGGAGTGAGGAAACTTGCCTGAGGTTTCGCCCTGCCCAGAATCGAACCGGGCAGGAGAGGTGCTGGATCGCTGGGGAGTTGAACCCTGCCCTGGCAGTTTGCCCTTTGAGGGTGTACAGTTGCCTGTCTGTCCGACCCTAGTCAACGTGAATGGGAGGCTTGTTTGTGTTTGACTGAGGCCCTGTGTTCTGTGCTGATGCTGCTCGTAGCGCCACAAATCACTACGTTTGGTTTCCCAGTGACACATTTTCTTTACAATTTCACATTTTTGTTTTCTCTTTGTGATTTTTTTTTCAGTGTCGCTCTGACCTTCCAGATGTTTTCTCTCCCTCCCCCCTCGTGCTGCTCTGGGTCTCCAGATGTTCGGGGCTTTGGTCCCACAGCTTGGTAATTGGTGTACTTTAACGTTTTGCACGGAGCTGTGTTGTTGTAGGCAAAGATGTAGTCATTTGCCACCCGGCAAGGTCCAGTGAACAGCAATTAATAATAATAATCCTTGCATTTGAAAAAGTGCCTTGTTACGTTGTTGAGATGTCTCAAAGTGCTTCACAGAATATATTATTAAGTGGATTGACTGTATTTTGCGGGAGAAACGCGGCAGCCAATTGCACACAGCAGTGTCCCACAAATAGTTGTGGATTGTGTGACCGCATTTTTTTAAAAAAGGGATTATTGCCCGTGGAAAATGATCCGCCAATTGACTAACAACCGGGTTCCTACTTACTGCTAGGTAAACAGAGACGCGTGGAGTAAGGAAACTTGCCTAAGTTTTTCTTTGCCCTGCCCAGGATTCGAACCCGGGTCCTCTCACTAACGAGGCAAGTGCGCTATTCACTATGAAATGAAAGAAGCGATCGAGTATCTGGCTGGGTGGGGGAAGATTGTCGGCCAGGACACCTGGAGAAACTCCCTTCTCTGTTCGAATAGTGTCGCAGGATCTTCAATATCCACCTGTGCAGGTAGACGGGACCGCAGTTGAACATCTCATCTGAAAGACGGCACTTCGATGACAACGAGGTGTCCTATCACCCAGCCCCACCCCGGCGTCGCAGAAATCCCAAGTCCCTGGTGCCTTGCATTTATTTTCTTGATGAGCAGCGGAAGTCTGCCCTGCAAGTTAGATATTCTAGTGTTTTCCTGCAAGAGTGTTGTGAGGGGCCTCGTGGCCTTGTAAGACCCGGCCAGAATGAATTGATTACTTTGAGTTTTGTTGATCGGCCAGACTTTTGGACGAGCCTTTGTCTCGTCTCTGTCTCCCACGAGGCTGAGACCAGGAGTGCAGGCAGATGACTCTGTCCTGTGCACAGCCCATAGCTGTTAATAATGAGGCTGGGAGTGCTTCATTCCCCAGGCAGAGAGCACGCCCTGATGAGGCAGGGCCTTTTGTTCAAATTAAGGGTTGGCCCCAGTTAACCCATTTAACTCCAGTGACTTTACTGTTGAAGCTGGAGATTGGTTTGCCCGACCCACGATGGTCACACCTCCAGGAAGCTATGTCTCTCTCTCCCCAACCCCTGAGCTGGTTTACCTTACTGCCCCCCTCCCGTAAGAAAGTGAATCTCATCAGTGACCCTGAGCTCCTGAGCTGAGCACAGCCAGGCATTCCTGCAGGATATCGTGGCGTGTTCGTGTTTGAAGAAATCGCAAAGGTTTAGTAATTTTACAGAAAGTTTTGAACAAGTAATTGAGCATGTGAGTCTTGTGTGGCACATATGAGTGATAGTGTCTTGAGTGAGTGCGTGTGCGAGAGAGTAAGGGTGTGAGTGTGTAAATTAGTGTGTTTTAAGTGAGTGTGTGTGTGTGTGTGTGTGCAAAGGTGGAAGTGAATGCGTGTGAGATGCGAGTGTGTAAATGAATTTGTGCGTGCTTGACTGAGTTTCTGTTCGACCGTGTAAGTGAATGCGTGTGAAAATGATGGAGTTGGTCTCTTCCAATCCATCTGTAAAGGGTTCAGGATACCCACCTCTCTACCTGTTGCTTATTTTCAAGCCCTGCTTCCTGCACACTGGTATTGTGGTCCAGGGTTCTGCATTGACAGTCCCTGTGAAAAGCTCTGCCTACAAATCAGTCTGGAAGACACATCCTTTGTACAGTAACTCCTAATTAAATAACCTTGCAGTCAGTTGAACGACGTTAATGTTAAGCCTGTCCTAATGTAATTCCAGTATTTCACATCAAGCATAATAACCATTTATGGGAACAAAAGTAACCTGGTGCAGAAATTATATATGCTTACAGTCACCTCCCCATCCTAAGAGAGATAGGCTCCACCACTGTTGATCACTCTTGAGACGCAACCCTATATGGAAGGCACTATATAAGTGCAAGCTGTTGTTGTTGCAAGCCTGGCTCGATCGAAACTTGCCCCAAATCAACAAAGCTTGCAAATGTCTCCTCTGGCCCATGAAGAGCTTTGACTTGATTTAATCTCATCCAGGACAGATGTTAAAGATCCCAAGGCATTATTGGAACTTGCAGGTTGTTTCTCCAGTATCCTGGCTAACAATCTCACATTTTACACAGTCTTTTCACTTCATGATTGTTTGTCAAAAACACATCACCAGCCTCATCACCATCATGTTAACTCTTGCATTTGATATTGTGGGTGTAATATCGATGCCTCAAAGTGCTCCGCGGGTTTACAATAGTGCAAAGTACTTTGAGATATTGCAACGTTAGATAGAAAGTAATGAAAAATGATCCTTGCATTGCTAACGTCCTACCTTATCGTGTCCTTAACATCTGAAAGCCCTTCACAAGATACACGGTAAAGTCTATAAAGTGTGTATTTTGAAGGCAGGAGGAGACAGCAAATTAACATTTCACTGTTTACTCCTTTCTCTCCGACAGTCAGCCCAAGCCTCTGAATACACACAGATGGAAGCGGTGCCCTTGCTGATAAACAATGTGAAAATGGAGCCGTGTGCGCTGCCCGTTGAGAAGAAAGCTGAGCAGCCTGTGCTGCTGAACAACATCAAGACTGAACCTCCAGAGGAGCTGCTCTCTGGCGAGGACAACCAGCCACAGACTGAGCCTGTGGACTTGTCTTTAAACAAGCCCAGGACCTTGACAATCACCCCCATCGTTTCGTCGCCTTTCCCGATGATCACATCCGTTTCTTCCTATACTCCTTCCTCCTTGGACTTGTCCACGGGAACCGTCAAAGTGACCTCGGCCATTCCAGCTGTGCTGTCACCAGGCTCCATCTTGGCCTCCTCGCAGGGCGTGGGGGGGCAGCAGCTTCTGCACGTCATACACACTGTGCCCTCTATCAACCTGCCCAGCAAAATGGGCAACCTCCAGCACATCCCCGTGGTGGTGCAGTCGCTGCCTGTGGTCTACACCTCGATCCAGCAGGAGGGCCTGAAGCAGACCATTACCGTGCCCCTCATAGGAGATGACGGGAAGAGCGAAGGAGCAGGTGAGGGAGAGCGTCTGGCACAATACACCGGTGGCTGGTGTGTGAATCACTGGCTGCTTCACTGTCTATAATAGAGTCATGATGTTTTGTAGGTTTTAGGATTAAGACAGTTGACTTAAACAAGTTATTTGGAAAAGCATCTTAAATTCTGTCTTCATTTGGAAGCTGATTTTTCCGGGCGGGGAAACTCCCAAGTTAAAACTGAACTTAAGACCTGTTTTCCAATCTTTTAATAGGCAGATAGAGCCTTGGTTTGAAGTTGTTGAGAAGCCTCAAGGCGCTTCACCATATGTGCTATAAAGTGAATTGACTGTGTATTTTGTGGGCGGATATAAAATATAATGCTGGAGGAAGTTTAAAACCAGATTCTCTGCCGTTCCACCAGCTCGATAATGGTCTGTAGGAGTAAACAGAGACCGAGTACACTTTGTTACAGGATCGCCTTTTGCTTTAATTGATTTAAAAGATTTTGGTCCCTGCCCTCCTGCTTGAAGTCGTCACAGAAGGCTCTTGTTCCATCGGTCACGTGATGCTAAGTGGTTGGGCAATTTTTGTTCTGTAGCTCTCCCTCGTCCCTCCCTCGGTCCCTCCCTCATTCCTTCCCCTCCCTCCCTCCCTCGCTCGCTCGCTCCCTCCCTCCCTCTCCCCCCACTCCCGATCCTGCCGCCCAGAGTTTGATTCTTTCCCACAGCCCTTGGCGCTGTGTCAATCAGATTCCAGACTGTGATCTCAAACCTGATCGGTGGTTGGGTTTTCACGGTGTGGGAGGTCATGGTGAGATTGGAAGGCTGTTCTGCTGACTTGTCTCTCTCTGCAGCATGTGCTGTACAGTACCATCAGTGCCTGCCACAAACCCTACCTTCATAATATCTCTCCCCCACCCCCCCCACCCAAAAAAAACCTAGATGCGGAGTGGGGGGGGAAGATGTGCCACTCCCAACACAAAATATGTTCAATAACTTTTTGTCCCCAACATTGTTGCTTAACGAAGTTGTATTCAGCCACAGCTAGCTTAAATGCACTGCATTCCCCTCCCAGATTGATTGATCAGTTGTGCACCTCAAGGCTCTTTGTGGGACTTCGCTTTGTGCAGTGTCTCCCAACTACACTTGTCGTTTCGCCCACAAGACACAGTCAATCAATCCACTCTACACTATACCCTGTGAAGCGCTTTGAGATACTTCAGTGACACGATAAGGTGCTATATCAAATTCAAGGATTATTATTGACAGTATGTGAACGGCTTTGAGACACACAATGTTAAGTGGAGACCTGTAGCGTATTGGTTAGAGCAAGCGAGAGGACCCAGGTTCAATTCCCGGGCGAAACCTTAGGCACGTTTCCTTACTCCGCACGCCTCTGTTTACCTAGAAGTAAGTGGGAACATGTTTGTGAGTTGATTGGCAGACCGCTTTCTGGGAGTATTAATCTCTTCCAGAAGAAAATAATAATTAATTTGGTCACTCAATCCATGACTGTTTGTAGGACACTGCTGTTCGCAATTGGCTGCCACTTCTCACTCACAAAATATGCAGTCAACTCACTTTACAGTATATTGTGTGAAGCGCTTTGAGACGTCTCAATGACATGATAAGGCGCTGTATCAAATACAAGGATTATGCTTCTTATTAGCACATTTCCTGCATTGAATCCATTTATGGGAGTAAAACTAATGCCAGACAATTACTAAAGGAAATAGACCTGCTACCTCAAGGCTGCTGGATGACTATTCCCTCTATATCAAATGCAAGGATTATTATGATGATAATGATGATTATCAGTGGCTGTAACAATGCGGCTTGTCTCTTGCTTTGCTGTGACTGTCAGTGCGGATTGATCAGAGCCCCATGTCCCCCGTGGAGATCAAGAGCGACAGCGAGGACGAGGTCGATCCACCCAACATATCCTTCGACAGCCTCCACGAGAGTGGCTCTGCGATGCTCAACCTGCACCAGATGCAAGAGTAAGTCTAATGGGCGGGTCCTTCCAGCTTCACCTGTGTCCTTGGTACAAACACTCTTTGCCGAGATCCCCCCCGTGGGTGGGGCCACCTCGGTAGCAAGTCCGGGACGTCCGATAGCCAATGACAGCGCTGGGCAGTGCGCTGGAAGTCATAAAGTGTGGCTTCACAGATGTTAGTGGGACCTTGCTTTGCGCAAAGTGTCTCCTGCCCTACTCTGCCTCGCTGGGGAGCTGAGGTGCAATTATATATAGCGTCACCTCGGCTGAGATCAAGAAACTGGCCGCAGACCCTGCATCGAACTCAAACCCCTTTGGTATCTCTATTCCCTGCCCCCTTTGTTGTACAAAAACAACTTGCATTTGCAGTCACACTGGGTAGCGTCTCTGAGCACTGAGCACTCTACAACCTTTCCGAGCTGGGAGGTGACCATTGGAGCGGTCAAAGCGGAAGGTCTTGAGGCGTGATCCCGAAAATGGGGAAGGAGGGAGCGAGATGGAGGGATTGAGGAAGAGAGTCTCATAGTTTTGAGTTCAGTGGCTGAAAGCACGTCTGCCTATGGTGGAGCGGGGGAGACGTGGGGAGGCATGTGATGTGAGGTTTCTAGTGTTTCGGACAGGGAGGGAGGGAGGGGAGGGGGTTAGGAGCTGTGATCATTGTATCTAAGCCGATTTCCTTCCTTCCGTCTTTCTCCAGTGAGGACCCCGTGTGGCCCGTTGACCCATCTTCCCATCTGCTGGAGGACGCCTACAGGTGAGTGCGTGTGACCAGCGACTGCCTGAGCTGAGCAGCCCTCGTCTGCTGCCACTGAATGGGGAGAAAATAAGGTTTTTTTTTCGTGAGGTGACTTTCCACCCGGTGAGAGTCGCTGTCCACTGTGCAGCCGACGGGCTGTCACCTGGCAAATAACAACAACTTGTGCTTATACAGCGCCCTTCACCCAGGGTAGAGTCAAGAGAGCGCCGCAGACCAACTCGCAGACTCTCTCAAATACTGTACATTTTACGCTTTTAATATCTAGCCGATGGCACACAGCAGTGTCCCACAGTTGCTGTGCGCAATCGGCTGCCGCGTTGTGGCCTCAAAGATACAGTCCAAATAATTTGCTTTACAGTATATTCTGTGAAACCCTTTTGAGATGTTTTGACAGTCTGGATCACAATGCAAGGATGTATCACCAGTTCTGGATGAAGGTTGGAGGGTGGGGGGTGAATTTATTATTCTAGCAGGGTACACAATGTAGTGGTGGGTTGGAGTGGGGGGAGAAACAATATTCTGGTGCTAGCTCACTGCCTATGCACTGTAGACGTGGCATATCCAGCTTTAGTTTAACCCCCTCCGGATTGACAAAGCTGTGCCGGATAAACATGTTGCGTAAGTGTCTTGTCTATAGTTTAAGCCATAACCAGTGAAACAGCAGGAAGTGGCTGCTCGCCATCCCTATGCGGGGGGGACGGGTGGGTGGGTTATTTGTTGAGTGTGCTCCAGTGCTGATTAATCTCATTTTTTTTCTAAATAAATCCCAACGGAAAGACCCTCTTCCGCCCCCTGCTGGCAATAACAGGCCTGTGCCATCAGACTAAGTGTGGCCGGGTTGTGTCATGCCAGTGTGGATATTCTTTACCTGGGGTTTTGAAGGTTTGAGTGCTTGCGGCTGAGCTGATGGTAAATTATTTTGCCAAGCAACCCCCCCCCCCCTGCCCCCCAACCTGCATTTACAAAGCACCCTCCACACAGGACAGTGTCTCGGGATGCAGTGAGGCACAGAGAGGTCTGGAACTGTTCCTGTATTTATTTTCTTCGCCATTTATACTTGTTTGTTCCACTCCTTGTCAAGGGTTAATAATAATAATAATTCTTGCATTTGATATCCACACGTCTCAAAGCGTTTCACAGGCTATACAGTAAAGTGAATTCATTGACTGTTTCGTGGCCGAAATGCGGCAGCCAATTGCGTACAACAGTGTCCCACAAATAGTCGTGGATTTAGTGACCCAATCAACTAACAACCGGGTTCCTACTTACTGTTAGGTGTGTAGAGTGAGGAAACTTGCCCAACATTTCGCCCTCCTGAGTAATCTCTCTTGTTTGTGTCTGTCACTTTTGTTCGCCCACAAAATACACAGTCAATCCACTTTGTAGTATATTCTGTGAAGCGCTTTGTGATGTGATAAGGTGCTACATCAAATACAAGGATTATCAGAACTGGTGAGATGTGGGTACGGAGTTTGGTCCGGGTCAGTATGCAGGCGGCAGTGTTTTGGATGAGCTGGATCTTGAGAACGGTGGAGATGGGCGAGGAGTGCGTTGAGAGTAATCCAAGCGGGAGGTGATAAACACACGCACGAGGGTTTTGGCTGCATTTGGGGTAAGGTACGGTTGGAGGCGGGTAATGTAGCAGAGATGGAAGAAGGTGGTTTTGGTCAGAGACCGGATGTGGGGGAGGAAGGACAGCTGGGAGTTGAACCGGATGCCTAGGTTGCACACTAGTTAGGTGAGTCTGAGGGAAAGCCCAGGGAGGTTGAGGAGTTTAGATCCGCAGGAGTGAAGATGTTGATGGGAATCAAGGAGTATGGCTTCCGTCTTGTCCACATTCATCTGCAGGAAGTTTACACTCATCCAGGCCTTGATGTCTGCCAGTTAAGCTGATAGAACATTGGTGGACCTGGTTGTACTGGAGGAGGCTAAGTAGATTTGCGTGTCATCCACATACATGTGGGAGTTTACCCCATATCTGCGGATGACATTTCCCAGAGGGAGCATAGAGATAAGGAAAAGAAGAGTGCCAAGGACAGAGCCCTTGGATACCCCGCAGGTGACCGGGCGGGGGGCAGGAGAAGAAACCATTTGCTGAGATGAAATTGAGGCGGTTTGCTAAGTAGGACTTGAACCATTCAAGTCTTAATACCCTGACCTAACAAATGTTTATCCACCTCAGTCTTGAAGATATAAATAGATCCAGTATCCACAGCATTTTGGGGGAAGAGAGTTCAATGGTCTAAATTGGCACTCGCTGACCCTGGGTAACATGGGCTAGGTGTCAGCTCTGCTCAGTGAATGTTCATTGACATTGAGTGCTCTCTACCTTGGGTAGAACATTAGCAAGTTTTCAATGGGATTTTGGAGTCTGTAGGGTATGTGAAAAAGGTAGGTGAATAGGACTGGAAGGATAGCTCTTTAAAAGAGCAGGCGCAGATGCATTGAGTCAAATGGCCTCCTTCTGTGCTATAAACCTATGGTTCTACAGGGGCTAAAGGAAATAAAGGTTCCATTGAGCAATTGTTGCTTCAGTAGCTGAACTTCATCTCTGCCCCGTACCATGGACCACAACTCGATGACTCATGGGCATATGTATCTGTCGGTCCATATATGGGGTAAACGTCCCAGACTTGAAGCAGAACAGTTATCTCATCTCTGTGCACAGAGTGAGTGACCCAGACACAACATCCAGTGGCTTAGACATTTCACGAGGAGAACAGAAAGCTTCAGTTTCCCGTTTTTGACCACGTTTCCTGTTTGGAAAAGTCCTGAGTGAAGAGTGAACTCTTTTTTTTTTTTCAGATTCAAAACTGTCCAGGATGAAAGGGTGGGGTGAGGGTGTGGGGTGCTGAAGGGTGGGCTGTGAAGAGAGCGTTCCCAACAAAATAAACCGGCACTAACTTGTGAACTGGAGATGCGTCACTAATTCTAGTGACGAATCGTCCACAAATCCCTTCCCGCCCTGGCACCTCCCTACCTCTCTGACCTGCTTACCACCAACGACATGTTTTCAGCCACTGCGCCCCGAAACTTTGGAATTTTCCCTCATCCCTCCGCCTTTCCCCCTCTTTTTCCCTTTTCACATCACACCTCATCTTCGACGGTGCGTGCGGTCACCTTCTCCCACCCCCAGGCTCGGTGACGAGATCCACCGCTGTTCTAACTTATCCTTGCATTTAACATTGCGCCTTTCACGTCGGGAGGACGTCACAAAGCGCTTCACAGGATTTTCTGTAGAGAGGAGTGACTGTGTATTTGTAGGAGGGCGACTATTATGTTTATTTCATGACTTTTATTGGCCAGCCGGGAATCTGACACCTTCAGAAACCCATCACCATTTTACGCTTATCCAAACCAGACTGAGGGTTCCACAAAAGAGAGACACCCCGACTCAACTAATCCCAGAGAGTATTGGGCGTAGATTGACAAGACACGAGTGTTCGGTGGGGAAGTTGTTAGGGCTTTGACCTGCCAGGGATTCTTCCCTTAGCCCGATATCACCCGTCTGCCCCTCTCAAGACCTGCTGATGATCCAGGCTGGCTGGTCTGTCATCAACAAATTGTATAGCGACTTTCACGTCTGGAGAACCTCCCAAGCTGCTGGACAGTCAGGGATTTTGACCCGAACAGGGTGTTGGGATCAGGGATGGCGGGCAGGGAGGGTAGGGGGTTGGAGGGTGACCGAAAGCATGGTCGAAGAGTTGGGTCTTGGGACGGTCCTTGAAGGAGGCAAGGATGGAAGTGAGGCGAAGGGACTGTGGGATAGAATTCCAAAGGATGGGGTCAGAGAAGCTGGAGGCCTGACCACTGATGGATGGAGGAGAGCAGAGGGAGAGGGCAGGTTGATATGGAGTTAACAGGTCCCAGAGGTAGGGAGAAGCAAGGCCAGGGAGGGCTTTGAAGGTGAGAGGATGAGGATTTTGAACTCTTCCCTGGGGGATGGGGAGCCAGTGGAGCCGGGCGAGGCTGGGGTTGATAGGGTCACGTAGCCTGGTGTGGGGGAGGACACGAGCTGCAGAGTTCTGGATAATCTGCAGCTTGTGCCCTGGAGCACTGCGGACCCACCCAGCTCGGGAACCAGTGATTACTGAGGGAGACCGTCACAGAGGGTGGAGTTCAATCCGATATTCGTGACTTCACTGTGCGCTTCGTCAACAATTGCAGTACCGTTTACGTTCCAGCAGATGGCACTCTGGCACTGTCGGGAACGGCGCCACCGAGTGAAAACCTTATGCAATTGCACTCCTGCTGAGGAAATGTAACGATGCAGCGGCAGATAGAGGTCGAGTGCAATTGTCACCCCAACAAGGCTGCCCGACCTAAGATAAAGTCCGGGTGAGTGCGGTGGAACCTGGGACTCTCCAAACGTGAGCGGCTCCCCGGTATTTGACGTTACCACCTGAGCCCTGGAGTGAGTTCCCGAGCTGGGTGGGTCCGCAGCGCTCCAGGGCACCAGCTGCAGATCATCCAGAACTCTGCAGCTCGTGCCCTCTCCCACACCAGGCGACGTGACCCTATCACGCTCTCAGAATGATCCACTCGGAGCACACGGCTGTATCTAACCGCGGATCTCTTTGCCTCCCCCCCCCCCTCCCACCCACCGACAGTGCGTCGAGCATGCATGAGCTGCACCGGATGCAGAGGGCGGAATCCCCCGACGCCAAGAAGAGGCGGGTTCACCAGTGCGACTTCGATGGGTGTAACAAGGTGTACACGAAGAGCTCGCATTTAAAGGCCCACAGGAGGATCCACACAGGTAGGCAGAGCCGGGGCTGGGGACCCAGCGAGCGAGCGAACGAGAGGGACTCGACTGAGAGTTAACGTCACGCTGGACTAGACGCTCTCTGATGTTTCTTCAGGTTAAGCCACTTTGACCTTCGACCTCTTCTGCCAGTGCACCGTGTGGACATTTTTTGTACCCTTGTAATTCCTTGTCCATTGCAGTAAACTAGCGGGTTGGGGGAGGGGTGACTAGACTGCGATTCTTTCCCCTCCCTCAGCGCCAGATACACTGAGTTCAGTTACAACAACGACAACCACAACAAATTGCATTCATATGGCGCCTTTCACATCAGGAGGATGTCCCAAGTCGCTGGACGGGGGAGGTTTGCACTCGAGCTGCGGGTTGGAATCAGAGATGGGCGGAGGGCAAGGGGGGGGGGGCTTGAGGAAGGAAGATGACCGCAGGAGCGAACCAAAGGGAAGGTATTGAGAAGGACCTTGAAGGAGGCAGGGGAGGGGGCGAGCTGGGGGCGGGGGCTCCAGGATAGAATTCCAAAGGGTGGGGGCAGAAAGGCTGAAGGGAAAAACGACCATGGAGGGCTTTAAAGATCACCCAACAACCACTGCCCGACATGAGATAATTAACTCAGACCGGAGTGGGATTGAACCTGGGACCCTCCAGCAGTCCGTCGACACTTAACTGACTAATATCTGGAATGCGTTGGGTGTGCCTTTGATGTGCGGGAAGTGCCAGTAAAAGGCGCTGATAGCAGCCTGTGGAAGGTGTCTGGAGGCTGACTCTCCTCTCCCCCTGCCTCTAGGTGAGAAGCCCTACAGATGTACCTGGGAAGGCTGTTTGTGGAAGTTTGCACGCTCAGACGAGCTGACCAGGCATTTTCGGAAGCACACGGGCATCAAGCCGTTCAAGTGCTCGGACTGCGATCGTAGCTTTTCCCGCTCAGACCACCTGGCTCTGCACCGCAGAAGACACTTGATGATGTGAAGGTACCTTTCGGGCAAGCTTCACATCCCAGCTCTGGCTCCGGCTCCCACAGCTAATAATTCCCAGGATTTGGCTCGGCTGAATTGCGACAGCTCTGGCTGTAAGATGGCACCTATGGATGCCTCCGGAAAGAGAGCGTACGAGAGAGAGTGAACGAGAGAGAGAAGCCCACGTACCCTCAAAAGACTGTGAAACTCTTCGAATCCCAGTTTTTTCCTTTTTGATGTTGAGTACAGTGACAGTTACAGTACTGACTGCAATCCTGTAGTTTGAGATGAAGCCTGTTGGTTTTTGACATCGATTTCTTCATTTCCTCTCCCTCCCCACCCCTCCTTTGATGACGCCAACAAGGATGGAGGAAAGTAACAAAAAAACAGACCCAGCCAGAGTCTGGTGCCCACAGTGAATTCCAACGACCATTCATTCACACATTAATTAATCCATTCATTCATTCATTCATTCATTCATTGTGACACCTGTGGAAGTGTTAGGGGCAATCGATCAGATAGAAGAACAAATCACTGTGCATTCTGGACAGTTTTCATCCATGCTCTATCCACTTAAGGGTTTGCCTTCCTGTATCCTGAAGCATGTAAAAAAAAATTTTTTTTGCCCTGCAAATATTTTATTCAGCGTTTTCTCTGAAATGTGAGCGCTCCTCATGACAGCTACATATTGTACAGAGATTTAACGAACAACAAATTTATCCCCGGTCCTCCCTCCCATCTACACAGGTTATTGGTTTTATCGCCTGCAGCATCCAACCTTGTTTGGATGGTTCCATTGATAATTCAGTGGTGGGGGTGGGGTGTGGGGGGGATTGTGGGGTGGGGGGAGGGAGAATGTCTGGGAATCAATCTAGTCCAGTCACTTAAAGCCCAAGGATTGAGTTGTCACGATGCTGTAGATAAGATCCCAAATCCAGTCTTGCTTTCGGAAGCTTGGATTCCGAGTCTCTGACCAGGAAACCAGCTCGAGAATAAGAGTGCGGAATTTCGCCCCTTTCCACAGTTGTTCGCCGTGTGTTTTTTAAAAATTTTAATTAAGCAATTAAATAGTTTTTAAAAAATTTTAAAAGAAAAAGACAAAATGGTGATTGTCTGGACCTTTGTTTTGTGTTATTCTGGGATCCTCTTGTTCAGGGCAGGGCTTCTCTTTGGCTGCTAGCTTCACTGTGAATTTTGTATCGTTGCACGTCGAACGTTAGGTGTTACGTGAGAGCATAAGGGTAAGTAATTAACTAAGGTATGAGAGGAGGATGGCGGGGAAGTGGGGAGAGAGGGAGAAACCCACTGCACCAACACATAAGCACAAATTCCTGAGACATTACTAATTAACTGTTGCGTTCATTTCTTATTTGAGTTTCATTTCATTTTAAAAAGTTTAGCAATCCAGTCTTAGCAGCTACCAGCAATGGCTGGGTGGGGAGGGAGGGGGTCGGCGGGGAGGGGAAGAGAGAGAGAGAGAGAAGGAGGTGTCATCTTCCCACTGTAGAGACTTGTTCGAATGATGGGATTTAAATTTCTCGAATTTTATTTAATGAGGTTTGAAACTAGCGATGGCCAGGGCTGCCTGTGCGGTATTTATCGTAAGAGTAGATTTAGCTGGTGCTCAAAATTGGCCTCTCCCCTCCTCGCTGCTCTCCGGGTTAACCATTTCATCACCTACAGTAAATGGGGCGCCCTCTTGCCCTGCGAGTCTCAGCTTTCTTTGTCTCTAAGAGCCAGCGAGCCCATAATTCCTGCCCAGCCCCGGGACCCCTCCTCTTGTGAGCCTGCAGCAGGGGAAACCCAGTTTCATGTTAAAAGAGACTGAGGACTAATTACAATCACGCCGTGAAATCTGTGAACCTGAGAATGCTCCCAACAGCCAAATCAACTCGCTATTCCCTGATTTTAAACCAAAATGTCACCGCCCAAGAAACGTGTCTCCCTCTTTCATGCCTGTATTGCTGATCAGACCTGGAAGAGGTTCATTGTAAAAATATTTTGCCTGAATGCACAGAGTAACACAGTGTTTGGATTTTTAAAGTTCTGCAATAACCATCTTGAGAAATTGGTTGGATGTCTGATCTGCGCAGAGGAGAGAAATTTCACCCAATGTTGGGTGTCAGCCTGGCACAGTCAGGAGGTAGCACTCTCGCCTCTCGAATCAGAAGGTTGGGGGTTCAAGCCCCACTTCGCGACTTTGAACTCAGTCTAGGCTGACCCTGAAGTGCTTTGAGACATCCTTCTGACGTGAAAGGTACTGTACCAAATGCAACTATTGTTAATATTGATCTGTTTATGTGGCATTTTAGATCATCCAGAATTTGGCAAATTCTTACGTATAATGATAATTTTGAAGGTGGTTTTATTTGCAACAACAACTTGCATTTATATAGCGCCCTTCACGCGGGGTAGCGTCTTGGAGTGCTTAACAGTGGCGGAGCCTGACACTGAGCCGGGAGTGTGTGCGTGTGACAGCAAGTACGCTTGAAGAGGAAGGCCTTCAGTTCTGATCTGGAAAAGGGGAAGGCGGGGGGCAAGGCAGAGGGATTGAGGGAGAGAGTTTTGGGGCGTAGTGGCTGAAAGCACAGATGCCAATGGTGAAGCAGAGGGGACGGGGGAAGCGGGAGACTGGAGGTGGCGGATGGTGGAGTGGGGAGGAAGCAAGTCGGAGAGCTAGAGAAGTGCCAGGGTGTGAAGGAAGTTGTAGATTTGCAAGATCTCTTATAGAAAAAAAAATGGCAAAGTTAAGTCAGAATTCAACTGTTTGCTAAATTCTGGACCCTCTGTAACGCCACCTAAACAGAATAAATTTGGACTTGAGTGGAATTTCTCCCCCTCTGCTCTTGGATCTTTCTCTTGTTTACTCCATTCCAGCACTGACTCTGGAAGGGTGGGGGTGGGGGAAGTGCTTCAAATCGCTGATCGCTGTATTCTCGTGAATCGTAAAGTTCTTTTTATAGGATTTTAAATCAGCCATAAAATAGGGCCTGCAGGCGGACAAGTTTACAGCTTGTCATGTGAACGTTCCCGTCTTGTGTTTTCGTGTGAAAACCTGTCCCCGTCTTAATAAACCACTATTTTAACTGATTTACAATCTCAGAGTCTTCAAACCCGATTTTTTTTTAAAAAAAAACATCACAGCGAATGTTTTGACTCACTTTGAAATTTCCAGTCACTGGCTGACATTTAGGATCTAATTGCTGGATTTGTTTTTTATTGGAGGGGTATTGGTGCAGAGGGGAAGGGAAACTAATTGTGTGGTTAATTTCTGTGCGGACTTGTTTTGACCTTTTGCTAAATAAGAACCCCCACGCCTCAGCAAAAGATATCTTGTGAAGGCCTGTAGGGCATTGATTAGCTTGCTTGCCTCGTAAGTGGGAGGATCCGGGTTCGATTCTCGGGCAGAGCGAAACCTCAGGCAAGTTTCTTTATTCCACACGCCTGTTTACCTAGCAGGAAGTAGGAACCCGGTTGTTAGTCGATTGGTGGATCGCTTTCCGGGGGATAATAATTCTTTATTGCTGTGCGCAATTAGCCGCCGTGTTTCGCCCACAAAACACAGTCAATTGACTTCACAGTATATTTTGTGAATCGCCTTGAGATGTCTCAACGACCTGATAAGGTGCTGTTATCAAATGCAAGGATTATTATTATTTGCTGATTGCAGTCCCAACTGAGCCTCTGTCCTGCTCAAAGCACTAAAGTGTGTGTGGAAGTCTACAGAATTCTGCTCTTTACTACTGCCTCCTTCCAATCTCTTATTGAACAGGATTTACTCTTCTGTCAGCCTGGTGTTTGATACATGTTTGACGCATCACTGTACTCGAGAGTATCCAAACCAGACTGAGTTTCGTATATCAAAACGAATGTAGGAATCCCCTAACGAGTGTTGGAATTGCTCACGGAATAAAATCCCTGCTCGAGGGGGGGGGCAATGTACTTGAGTTTCACTCCCCCTTGTCTCCGACAACGAACGTGTTCGATATTGATCAAGGATATGCGTTTAGAAAGAATTGCGTTGGTGTCGATGCCCTTGGGCTAGTGAGGGTAAAACGTAGCCTGTTCTCAATCACTGTCCCGTCATCCTGCAGCAGGGCATGTGTAGACACGGGAGGCCCCAAATTCTACCTTAGTCTTAGCCCGCGGGACCATTTTGCCTTAAAAGTTTTAAGATCGCTCAGAATTGTGGAAAATTCAGTTAACCCAGATTAATTAAGAATTTTTACAGAATTCTATGTCATCGTAAAATGCTGAGAAGAAATGGTAGGCAGGAGAGGACTGGGACTAGAGGTAGCTAATGTTTTGGCTGTTAAGTTGCTTTGCGATCGAATGGTCTGAGGAAAGGTCACTCACACCAGTTATATAAGACCCAGAGCATCCAAAGTAATAAGGGGGGAGAGAGCTAGTGGGAAAAGGAAGGGTATATATATATATATAGAGAGAGAGAGAGAGAGCACAGATTGTGATGGGCAGACTGATATTTTTCATTGCTTTGAAGGCTGTTGCCTTGCCGACCACACATTGGCAAGTGTCCAGATTCGTCTAAGTGCTACAACTACACGCAATAACTGTGGTACCTTCCCCGGCGACTATTTTTAATAAGTGGATTTTGTATTTATGTAATTATGTTCTGTAAATATATAAGCAGTTATTTCAACTCCAATGTAAAATGTGATATTTTAACAAAAAAATACTATAAGGAGAAAGCCTGGTATCGGATTGTGTTGGAGACTGCTTGTTTGTTAAGCAGCTGTCGACCAAGTGGTGTAAAAGGCAAACCGCTCGTTTTAAACATCGAGACACGTTTACAGGCTTGTTCCAGAAATGTACATAGGATTATAAATAGAATTTTCAAATGTGTCATTACTCTCCCGCTCCATGGCTAAAGTCACTGCTGACAACCGCTAACACCCATTGAAACCAGGTCCCGTCTGTCTGTGCCTGTTGAGGTGTGCGTTAAAGACAGGGTGGCCATAAGTCCCCGATTTCCGGGGTCAGTCCACCTCATGACACACATTGTGTCCCAGGTTCCAAATTTGCCTCGTCTTTGAGTTCAGCGACACACTGAGCAAGAACAATAAAGTTCTAAAAGAAACAGATACGCTCATTAGAGAAATACAACCAATTAATCAATCCCAACAAGGATCAGGTTTGTGGTGAATTAAATTTTTTTGATATATATATATATTATGTGTATCCCCGGATTTGGTTTACAAAACATGGTCACCCTATTTAAGCTCCCACGGCAATCTTCGAAAAGAGATGGGAGTTTCTTCCCGCGTCCTGGCCAGCATTCCCTCAGACAAAATGGATCATTCATTTCATGGCTGTTTGTGGGACATTGCCTACGTGCAAATTGGCTGCCGCGTTGAGCCCCCAAAGCACACTCTACAGTCGCTGCACTTTACAGTATATTCTGTGAAGCGCTTTTGAGACATCCTCCAGTCGTGGAAGGTGCTATTACCAAATGTAAAGGATTATTAAATGTATGTACGGGATAACTTGTGTTGAAGGTTTTTTTTGGCACTGATTTTAACCATTTCTCCCTAATTGGTCTGTACTGGGGTCTCTTGGTATTTGACTGTAATGGGTGGGTGGGGGGGGGGGGGGGGGAATACCCTAAAAGCTGTGAAGTTTGGTGAAATTCTGTACAGTAGTGTGCACCTCTGAAAAACCTCCATAGATCGAACGATGTGATCGACAGATTTAAGCATGGTGTTAAATAAAGATGCTTTTTGTATTCAACATTGAATTTTGTGCTTT